TCAAAATGAGTAACAAAGAAGTTATCCTTGTTTTAAACACTACCTCAAATAAATTTCTGCTTCAGTGGATATAAACTATCACTGAGAGTTATGAACATGGAAAATTATTCAAAGTAAACTTTTTGATGCCCAGAATTCTGGAAATTGCATTTCCAAGCTTCTAGATTTCCTAAGGACACCTGCCCAGAATTTTATTGACACCCCTGTGTTGGTGGTGTGCAAGTATTTTCTTTATACAATACTCACATCTATTCAGTTTGTCCAGGCCAAAGTATGTCACTATCCAAGTATTCCATCACTCAACAAGTTACCAATTGTTTGACAAGCCATTCATAAAAATGCTTATGGACCTGCTTGTCTGGCAAGCTCATACCCTTGAATTTGTTTGGTACAAGAACCTGGATCAGGCTTTGGATTGGGGTATTTGCAATTGTGACCCTCTGCTATCCAGTCTTGCTCCTCCAGTCCTTTGCTATCCAGTATTGTGACATCCAGTCCCGTGCTATCCAGTTCTGCACTATCCAGTCCTGTGCCATCCATTCTGCTCTATCCAGTCCTGTCCAGCCTGATCAACACTTGTCAACAAATTACTTGCCTGCTGATGCAGCTCAGCATGATTCTCAGTATCCTGCTATTAAAGTGACCAAACCCAAACAGGCAAAAACAGTTGACAAATCTATTTCCATTCAGCATGGAAGTTCATCATGGATGCCTCGAACTTGCCATAATAACACAGCCACAACATGGCCTGCTCATCAAGTGACCAAAGCCAAACAGGCAAAAACAGTTGACAAATTGAAATCTATTATGGAAGTTCATGATGGTCTCCATCTCCAACTTGCCATTGATAGTAACACAGCCACTACAAGGCCTGTTCTTCATCAGACAATACCTAGGATGCCAGCAACTGCTCACCACTGTTATTTGTCAACTCCAGTAAGTCAATTGGCAAGATCAGTAAGAATTCAATTTCATAACAGAGCTCTAGATGACCTCAGAATCCCACGCAGCATCTCTGCCTAGAGAACCCTAGCTTGGTTATGGTGAAATCCATCTTCAAGTTAGTTCATTTTTGAAAAGAATGGAAGGGCAGCTGGAGGGCAGCTACTGGAACATATGCAGTNTCAAAATGAGTAACAAAGAAGTTATCCTTGTTTTAAACACTACCTCAAATAAATTTCTGCTTCAGTGGATATAAACTATCACTGAGAGTTATGAACATGGAAAATTATTCAAAGTAAACTTTTTGATGCCCAGAATTCTGGAAATTGCATTTCCAAGCTTCTAGATTTCCTAAGGACACCTGCCCAGAATTTTATTGACACCCCTGTGTTGGTGGTGTGCAAGTATTTTCTTTATACAATACTCACATCTATTCAGTTTGTCCAGGCCAAAGTATGTCACTATCCAAGTATTCCATCACTCAACAAGTTACCAATTGTTTGACAAGCCATTCATAAAAATGCTTATGGACCTGCTTGTCTGGCAAGCTCATACCCTTGAATTTGTTTGGTACAAGAACCTGGATCAGGCTTTGGATTGGGGTATTTGCAATTGTGACCCTCTGCTATCCAGTCTTGCTCCTCCAGTCCTTTGCTATCCAGTATTGTGACATCCAGTTCTGCACTATCCAGTCCTGTGCCATCCATTCTGCTCTATCCAGTCCTGTCCAGTCCTGTCCAGCCTGATCAACACTTGTCAAAAAATTACTTGCCTGCTGATGCAGTTCAGCATGACTCTCAGTATCATGCTATTAAAGTGACCAAAGCCAAACAGGCAAAAACAGTTGACAAATCGATTTCCATTCACCATGGAAGTTCATCATGGATGCCTCGAACTTGCCATAGTAGCACAGCCACAACAAGGCCTGCTCATCAAGTGACCAAAGCCAAACAGGCAAAAACAGTTGACAAATTGAAATCTATTATGGACGTTCATCATGGTCTCCATCTCCAACTTGCCATTGATAGTAACAAAGCCACTACAAGGCCTGTTCTTCATCAGACTATACCTAGGATGCCAGCAACTGCTCACCACTGTTATTTGTCAACTCCAGCAAGTCAATTGGCAAGATCAGTAAATTCAATTTCATAACAGAGCTCTAGATGACCTCAGAATCTCACGCAGCATCTCTGCCTAGAGAACCCTAGCTTGGTTATGGTGAAATCCATCTTCAAGTTAGTTCATTTTTGAAAAGAATGGAAGGGCAGCTGGAGGGCAGCTACTGGAACATATGCAGTCATCAGAGAGTATGAAAAAAATGGAAGGACAACTGGAGTATTTGACTGGTGCTGCAGAGCTCATGCAGTCATCATTCCTACCTGAAACAGAACCTGTGCTACTTCCAAGATCATCCAA